GCACTATCTAATAAGAATCCGTACTAGATGTGCTCTATCTATCCTTGTTTGGAATGGTTATGATCGGTTGGGCAGCGACGAAGGCGTGTGCCTGCAGCCTTTGCCATATTATCCTTTCCTTACCCTAATAATCATCACGCTTCCCTATTGGTGGATGAAGAATATACTCCTACTACTTTTACTGAAAATGACATACTGACGCGTATCCTTCTCTTCTTCCTTAATTTGTGCAGGAAACATCATCTCCTTCCTGGTGTTCCTCGCACCAGTGTAAGTAGAACCTTTCCCTTGCTGGGTTGTCGTCGTTTCAGACTTGATTTCATTTCATGATGAGCGAGATAGATCTTTGAGTGAATCGATCCAAGACTGACGAACGAACAAAACTGCTGCATGCAGCACGACGTTCCTGCAGGTGTACCGGAAGAAGTCGACGGGCGGGTTCAGCTCGGTGCCATACGTGGTGGCGCTCTTCAGCTCGGTGCTGTGGATCTTCTACGCGCTGGTGAAGACCAACTCGCGGCCGCTGCTGACCATCAACGCCTTCGGCTGCGGCGTGGAGGCGGCCTACATCGTCTTCTACCTGGCGTACGCGCCCCGGAATGCGAAGCTGCGGACGCTGGCCTACTTCTTCCTGCTGGACGTGGCGGCGTTCGCGCTCGTCGTCGTCGTCACGCTCTTCGTCGTCCGCGAGCCGCACCGCGTCAAGTTCCTCGGCAGCGTCTGCCTCGCCTTCTCCATGGCCGTCTTCGTCGCGCCGCTCAGCATCATCGTCAAGGTGGTCAAGACCAAGAGCGTGGAGTTCCTGCCCATCAGCCTCTCCTTCTGCCTCACCCTCAGCGCCGTCGCTTGGTTCTGCTATGGCCTCTTCACCAAGGACCCATTCGTCATGGTAAGGATAGGACTAGCTAGCAATTGGAGCTTCCTTACTACTGAACTGAAGCACCTGATGATGATGGATGTGAATTAACTGAATAATGTTTTTCAATCCATTCAGTACCCCAACGTCGGCGGCTTCTTCTTCAGCTGCGTCCAGATGGGGCTCTACTTCTGGTACCGCAAGCCCCGGCCGGCCAAGAACAACGCTGTGCTGCCGACGACCACCGACGGCGCGGGCGCGGTGCAGGTGCAGGGGCAGGTGATCGAGCTGGCACCCAACACGGTGGCCATCCTGTCGGTGAGCCCCATCCCCATCGTGGGCGTGCACAAGATCGAGGTGGTGGAGCAGCAGCACAAGGACGCCGCCGTGGCTGCCGAGACCCGCAGGATGGCCGCAGCCAACCCGGACGGCGCCATGCCAGAGGTCATCGAGATCGTCCCCGCCGTCGCCGTGTGATCCAACGCCGATCGCCGCCAGTCACCACTACGCACCGTACCCTGCTAGCTCGGATCGACTCGGACGACGGCGACGACATGCATGGGCTAGTGGCAAAGTGACTGGCAGCAGCGGCGAGCAGACTACTCTCGCACATGCAGGCATCATCATATCTAGTTGGTCGATCGGTCGTTTAGTTGGTTATTAATTGTTGGATTATTAATTATTGCGTGTCTCGTGTGTGTGTGTGTGATTAATTAGTTATTACTACCCTTGGCTCAGTTTCAGTGTGAGTGAGTGAATCAAGCGCAGTAGTAGTTTGTTGCATTGTTGGATCGATCGGACAATGCTAATAATAATTATGTTGATGCTGTGTGTGTGTGCACACGCTCTAGCAGTACGTCGCAGTGTTTACTCTTACATATATACATGGTCTTGGTCCATCTGGGAAGATGATAAGACTGTAACATGCAGGGCATCTATTTATACTTTAACATATTCTTTGTGCAGTTAATTTTTGTTTGTTTTGGATACCCGCAAGAGCGCAATTATTCTAGCTTCTTTTGTTTTTTTTTTGGCTTAGTCAACCCAACGCAGGTTTGACCAAATATGTAAAACAAAACAAAAAACTAGTAATAATAAACATCGTTAGATTTTTCGAATAAATAAGCGTCGTTAAATTAAATTAGTCATGAAACAATTTCTCGTAGCAAACATAGCTTTTTAATTTAGAGATACAAACGTTGATGCTATTCTCTAAAAACTTGGTGAAACTTAAAAAAAATGGCTTAATTAGTCGTTCAAACTGATATTGCACTCTTTCAGCTAGAGACCCACACACCAGGTACATCATTCTTTACTCTTTAGTTACTGCTGTATTCTGTCAGTTACAGGTGAGGGTTGACAGGGGATGCATGCATTTTTTTAGAGGAAAACAGGAGGGTGCAAGCCCCTACACTACCGGAACGAGGAAGTTTGCCGTGTGCCGTGGGCACACGGTGAAGTCTAAAAAAACACTCGGCAAAATCTTTGCCGAGTGTTACACTCAGCAAACGGCACTCGGCGTATACAGAGTCGGCAAACATTTCTTTGCCGAGTGTTTTTTTATCGGACGCTCGACAAAGACTTAATTTGCTGAGTGTTTTTTGGGCACCGACACTCGGCAAAAAAAACGAAAAATATAAACAAAAACGCCGCCGCCACCACGCGGCTCGCCCTGCCGCCGCCGCCACCCCATGGCTTGTCTCGCCGCTGCTCGCCACCACCACCATGCGGCTCGCCCCGCCGCTGCTCGCCCGCTGCCGCCGCCACCGCCACCATGCGGCAAGCCCCGCCGCTGCTCGCCCGCCGCTTCCCGCCCGGCCCACCGCTGCCACCACCACCACCTGTGCAAAAAAAAGAGGGAGAGGGAGGGAGATGGCGGGCGCCGGAGGGAGGAAGGGGGGGCGGCGAGGGAGGAGGGGAGGGGAGGGAGGGGGAGAGGGAGGGAGGAGGAGGAGGAGGGCGGCCGAGAGAGGGAAGGAAAGGAGGGGGCGGCGGCGCCGGGGGAGGAAGGGGAGGGTGGGAGGGAGGGGGCGGCGGCGGGGTGCTTTTATAACGTGCCGAGTTTGCCGAGTGTCGGATCGAGAACACTCGGCAAAAGCTGGCTTGGCCGAGTGTTTAGGGTTTGGGGCACTCGGCAAATATATTATTTATTTTTTTATTTTCTTGTTTTCCATAACATGTTTTTCCTTTTTTTGTTCGATGTACTTTGAAAATACCATGCCAAATTGACTCAATAATATATATATATATATATATATATTTTTCTACGAATATGATTCCATTATTTTATGCAGTTACAGGTCAAATTTAATTTATATCAATTAAAATTCTATAATTGCACTTAATAAATTAAAATTATCAAACGGATCCAAAAAATTATCAAAATTTCACATGAAACAATCTATGTTCTCTATTGGCTATCCAAAAGGTTTTGAAGTCAAACCCCAATTCGATCGTTACTTTGACTCCAAATCTTACCGATTCCTTCTTAATGCTATGATTCTTCTTCTGTGATGCTTCGGTTTGTAAACATCGTACGTGACAAAATTATGCGAAACCTTCTCAATTTTTTACCACAGCCTCCACGTATGATATCATCACATCATGACAAATGTCATGATTTTCAGACTTTGTTTGCTTTTTTTAGAATTTAAAAACAATTTGGCCACACGTTCGTGGTCGTGTTTTCTGAACAAGTTATTCGAAATTTCTTTTCATTTCCTCGGTTAGGCCTCACACTGGACTCAATAACTTAAATATCATTTTTCTACTCATTTTATTATATTATTTGAATCACTTACAGTTCAAATTTGACTTATACAAAAAAAATCCTAGAAATACAATAAATTAATTAAATATAGCAAACAGATCCACAAATATACCAAATTTTAACATGGAATACCACATGTTGTATGTTGAGAGTAGAAAAAGTTTCAAGGTCAGAAGAGAAAAAAAATAAAATTATTTGCCGAGTGCTAAATAGTTACATTCGGCAAACATATTTTTTGCCGAGTGCCAGACAATTACACTCGGCAAACATATTTTTTTGCCGAGTGCCTAGTTTTGCCGAGTGTTTTTTTCCTAGTTTGCCGAATGTCGAACTTTGCCGAGTGTTTTTTTGCATCGTTTGCCGAGTGCATTTATTTTGTCGAGTGTTTTTTTCGCAGCACTCGGCAAAGGGCTTGTTTGCCGAGTGCCCAAGAAAATGCACTCGGCAAAGATAAAAACACTCGGCAAATAGCCGGATTCCGGTAGTGCTACTGTGCTTTTATTATAATTGTTAAAAAACATACAACAGAGTTTCATAATACATAAAAGGTTGAAAATTAGAAGAATTACACATATGCTTCTAGCCATAATCTAATATTGGGTTCATATGAACTCTTTGCTCTAAGGATAACCTGAGCAAAATCAACTCTGAAGTGATGTGTCGAGCTTGGGCAATTGTTGGCTGAATATTTCTGAAGATTGCATCATTTCTGAAGGGATGCATGCATGAGTAGCTAGCTAGCTAGCTGATGTAGCTGGCACATGAGCAGGAGATAATAGGAGGTACACGGTCGAATTTTTCGATCTGGCATATGTATGGATCGTCCACTGTTGGATGCGGCCTGGCCTTTTTTTTTTTTTTTTTTTTTTTGCGACGAGGAGGCCTGGCCTGGGGCCAGGGGTGGTGCACTGTCTAGCGTCTAGTACTGTCACACTATGACTCCGTTACCGTAGTAGAGATAGTGCGCGTGCCTAGGGCTGGCGGGCTCGTCGTGGTCGTGGCAACAAAATAAAGGGGAGGAGAAGGGACGGACGGCCGGCCAGCCGCGCAAATGGTAGGTGCCGGCGTGCCGCAGAGCATGATGGCACGACCGGTCGTTTCAGTCGGTGATTGGCCTACGATCCGATCCGTAGCAGTAGCAGCTTACGGGTAGTGGTAGGCGCTTTTCCTTAGGATGCGGACGTGGCGCGTCCGCTCCGCATCACCGCCGCCGTGTTTTCCCGCCGCGCACCCCATCCCGCGCCGCTCGCTTCTCGGCCTTGCCCGTCGCGTCCCACCCGCGCCTCTTGCTCCTCGCTCTGGATGCGCCCTTGCTTCCCCTGGTGCGCGTCCCCGATCGGACAGCCGTCGGGTTAGCCGCATTGGCCGTGCGTGCTACGGCTGTGCGCCGGGCCGGTCGTGCCACGCCACGCCTGGGCTGGCCTGGATGGCCGCCTCTGCTGCCTCCACCACGGGTGCCACCCACCCTATCGAGTATCGACGAGGGCAGCGCAACCGCTCACTGGGGCCGCGTAGCCGCCTACCTGCTGCTATCCTCCTTCTTATGATCAGCAATCCTTGAAAAACATGTACGTTTAACATGCATGCATTATCTGTTTTACCACAGAATACGAATCGTGTGTTTTTCTCATTCCGTACAAGTTCGGACAGACAAGTCTTGTGCAGATAAACCCATGAGGTCTCTTAATCAGTGAACAACATATGTGAACCAGTTGAGAGGTTTTGCTTTCTTCTCAGCATTTGCCTCTTATAGAGGTTGAAGATGGAGTGACAGAGCCATGCATGTATTTACCTCGCTGCTGATGACGATGCACCCGGAGTATCATCCATATGGACACCACATGGCGAAGGGCCTTAATGATTTCTCCAATCTGAGGCCGACCAACAGCTTCGCTCTCAATGCACTTATCCACGACATTAAGAGACTCGCTGAGCACCATTCTGGATACAGAGCCACGTAACCTTGGATCAAGTAGTTCCTCAAAGTTTCCATTCTTTTTCTTGTTTGCGGCCTGCAAAGGTGTTATCTGTGAAATGATAATCTAGGGAGAAATGACATCAGGTACTTGATACAAAGTGCAGTAAGTAGTTTACAACTGGCTACTGCACATCTCCAAGACAATGAAGAACAAACTGTATATGGTACCAAACACTTTCTCGGGTTGTGTGATATATATGCCCATCAGCTTATATATCCCCATTAGTTCCAGAAAAGATTTTATTTTGGACCATCCATAGACGACCTGAAGTGAATCCCTATTCCCAGTAGTTTCTGACAGTTCATTTCAAATTTGCCTGTTTGATGCAACAGTTTCATTTCCAGAATGATGATCTAAGATACAAGTGATACTTGCTATGAAGTGGAGTAATGTACACAACCAGCTGCAGCACTCTCCCAAGCCAACTATAATATGAACAGTACATGTACCGACAACTCTCTCCAGTATTATTTGTCTTCAGATAAGTAACAGATAAACCACATGTATGCCTAACATGCCCATCAGTTTATATATCTTCATTAGTTCCTGAAACAATTTTTCAGCCTTAGGCTGTCCATAGATTTGTTGGACCTCCAAACACAGTCAAATGAGCCACTACTCCAAAACTTGCTCTTTAATAACATAATCAGCTCCAAAACTTGTCTTTTAATCCCATCACAAAAAAGTTAACAAGTTAGGTACAGGAGTAAACAATTGAATAGGGAAAAAAAAGTTAAATATATTGCTGGAAACAAGAAGCATACCCAGTAAACTAGATTCCGTTCCTCTCCTTCTTTACTCTCATCAATGGTAGTCTTTCCAGTAATGAGCTCCAAGAGCACAACCCCAAAACTGTAGGTATCTGACATGACTGTCGGGTTTGTTTGATTAGCAATCTCTGGTGACATATATCCAACCATTCCCACCATTCCAGATGCTACTGCAATAAGCTCATCCCCAGCTGGGGCAATTTTAGCGGTCCCGAAATCAGAAATCTTTGGACTAAAGGTCCCTGCTTAATAAAATGTTGTCTGATTTAAAGTCCCTGTGGATGATTGGTGGATCAGATTCAAGATGGAGTTTCTTCAGAACCGTAGCTGCATCACGTGCAATTCTCATTCTTGTATACCAGTCTAACTCTGCAACCGTTCAGTTCAGTTATTAAAAAAAACTGAGCATCAGATCATTTTTTTTGGGGGGGGGGGGGGGGGGGGGGAGGCTAGGATTGAGCATTAGAACTTAGTAAATAACAAAACTAAAACATTCAAAAGCAACCATTATCAAAATGAGAAAAAGAATGCTTTCACACACAATCAGCAGCACTCTTATGTAAAAGATGTTAAATTCCTTTTCCTTTTTCTCTAGATATACTACGTGCACATGTTCACACATACATAACACCAACGGGGTTGCAGTTTTATTTCTGGAGCTACATTTTTCCTAAGTAAACAAATAAAGTTTAACTTTAAGGAGCCTAGAGTACATTTAGCCACTATATCTAAAAGATCCAAATTGGCCTGATAAGTGCACTCTGCAAAATATAGAATAAAGCGGTATAGATGACGGAAATTCGAGTGGTTTAAAATGGTGGAATTATCTCTATATGTTGCCCTCGAGTTCAGTTGGCAAACAGAGCAGGCCAGAAAATGAAGGAACTGTTTGTGTTTCATAATCAAAGCTGCACAATGGAAGAGACCACTGTAGCTTCCTAAAAGATGGATTTATCAGTATGTATATGAGAGTGGTTATCACTTTATTGGCACTGTTTCTGGGCATCCAGCTCGCTTCCGTCAAATCACACCAATTGCTAATTTGAAACAGATGTGTTACTTGATTTGTTGATTCATTTCCTGATTAACTATAATCAAGTACATAGGCAGCCAAAAATCTTATCAATTCATATAACTAAAGGATCCATAGGTAACAGATAAAGAGTGCCGGATGGGATAACTCACCACTCAAACGTTGATGCAAAGTCCCCCCCTCTTCATATTCATACACAAGAAGCCGTTCTGTTCCCTCAGAACAGCAACCGGGCAGTTTCACAATGTGAGGGTGGGAATTGAGCACATAGACCTCCCTAAGAAACGCCCTTTGCTTATAGGCAAAATCAAGGGATGTCAACCGCTTGACGGCAACAAACAAAAAACTATTACAAACAGAAATTATAGTAGTAACCATCCAAGACAAGTAGCAAATTCTGGGTGCAGAATCAAATTTCGCAGTTTGAACATAACGTTTTCTTGTTCTAATCTGACGGATTGAGGTTTCTTTTAGATGTTTCACTTGTGACAGCTGCAACAACCTACAGGTGCTATTCCTAACACATGATATGTGTAGTCTGTCAAGTTCAGCACATCATTTGATATAAGACAGAATGCAGAAAATGCAAAACAGAAAAGTATATACACGATCAGCTCAATGGTGACACAGTGACAATGTTTTAAGATGTATGTATTACTATGGCACATTGCAGAAATTGACCTGTCCAATGCTGGGTAAGTGGCCTTCATAGACTATGCCTTGGCCCCCTGAGCCTATTCTGAGGTTCTTACTGAAATTATCAGTTGCAGCAGAGAACTCTTCGAAGCTAAATGTTTCCACGGTCAGTGTGAAACTTGTATCATCATCTTCGGATCCTGTTGGCCCTGCCTCAAGAAAGCATCGAAATAAAATAACTTCAAATCCAGCAAATCTATGCTCAATCTATAAGAGATATGCAGAATTGCAGACTGTACAAGAGTAAAGCATCCTGACTAAGTTCAAAAGATATAGAACTGAGTATTGCTTCAGTGCTCTCCCAAAAATTAAATCGCACAGATATATGCAGGGAGGATTTGAAGTAAAGAAGACACAAGAACCATATCACTGTGGTTCTGAATAAACAAGTCATTCAAGCTAGGGGTTGAAGAAAACAAGAACAAACAAAGGAACCTTCGTTTAGAAACCATCCAGTAATCCTGCGTTCTTTTGAAAAAGAAAAGAGAAAGGAAAATCAAGAATCCTGCCCAATGCTGCATTTCTAGGAACGAATCAGGACTAGTAAATCAACCTGGCATTTCCTTCTGAATGCGGGGATGCATGTACTAATTGGTCATTCCTACAAACAGCTCGAGATTAAGCATCGCAGAAAGGAATTCAAGGCCGCAGGAACTACGGTAACTATCGGAAACCAATCTAAATTGAAGCTAGAGAAAATGGAAGGACAAAACATCACAGAAAGAAAACCAAGAACAATGAAAAAAAAGAACACAAGAACTCGGATACAAACAAACCCCCACAAAACCCCCTGAAAATGCTACCCAATAAAAGACCAAGCCTGGAGGGTCGAGCGGGCTGTCCGTTTCACCCGTACCCAAATCTTTCGGATTGAAGCATCCGCGCAGCCTCTTCATCCTGTCTCCTGGAAAGGAAAAGAAAAGAACCCAAGAAGATCAGCCAAATAGAGCAAAAAAAACTTCTGGCACAGATCCAATAGCTGGAAGATCCGGGAAAAACCTCAGAACAAGGAACTCGTTCTCCCCGCTGCAATTTGACCGAGAATGGGGCTCGAGAGGGGCGAGCGGGAGCGAGAGAGGTATGCCTAAGCCTATGCGTGTTCACTGTTCAGGGCGCAGGCACAGGTTTGGCCGTTTGGTTGGGCGGAAGGGAAGAGAAGAATTCCAGAAAAAACAAAGGAAAAGAGGGGCGGATATGTAAATATGCCTCGCACACCACACGGGTATAGATAGCCAACGGGTCGGCCCGGCCGGGCCCGTGCCAGCACGGCCCGATAGCCAACGGGCTGGCACGGCACGCCATGCCTCCCGGGCCGTGCCTCACAGGGCCACGGGCCTGGCCTCCGGCCCAGGCACGACACTATGGTCCGATTTCCGTGCCGGGCCGGTCTGCGAGGCACGACCAATTTCACAGGCCATGCCAGCCCACGGCCCGCTCACTGGAGGAGGTCGCCCGCTCGCTGGATCCGGTAGTTGCTCGCCAGATCCAGCTGCCACCTCGCGGGATCTAGCCAGTCTCCACCGTCGTCACGTGCGGGCGCCGCCGGATGGAGGAGAGGAGAGAGGGCGCGTCGAAGACCTCCTCGTGCACGCCATAGCCCATAGCTGGATGCCTGGATCCGGCCTCCCCGTGCAGCGACGTCGACCGGATCTAGCATCCCCGCGCCGTTCTAGCACCGTAGGGAGGAGAGAGGTGCACGCCACCGAAGGAGAGAGAGGCAGAGAGAGGGGCGTGGGCGGGGCTGGGGCCAGCCATGCCAGTGCTCTCTGGGCCACCACTGCCTTTGGAGGGTGAAGGCCGGGCGCCACATCTCGGAGACGGAGAGGAGAGGGCCCGAGAGCGAGAGGGTCGGGCGCCGCATCTCAGAGACCGAGAGGGAGGGTCGGCCACGGCATCTGGGAGAGGAGGGAGGAGCCTCGGGTGGGGGCTGCCATGGGAGAGAGGGAGAGGTGAGGGAGAGGGAGCGGCGAGTGAGGGGCGTCGGGTGCGGGGCGCGGGGGTTGGCAAGCCGGGCCGCTAGCGGGCCGCCTGCTCAGAAAGCAGTGTGTCGTGGCTGCGTGCCGGCCCACGTGCCTGGGGTAAGGCCTAGGCACAGCCTGCTCCTCCGTGGACGGGCCAGCCCGGGCCCGATAGCCGCCGGGCCGTGTCGTGCTTGGGCCGGGCCAAAAAAACGGCCCTCGAGTCGGTCGATGGGCTCAGGCTGCATGGCCAACTATACACACGGGACACGGTACCTTCTCGCTGCGGCTGGGCGCTGGGCCGCTGGCTAGGGACTAGGAAGGCAAACCAGGCAGGCATGTCTCTAGGCCCACCAAGCCCGAGCCGAGCCTAGGCCTAGTCAAGAGTCATGATCGTTTTTTTTTCTCTTTAAGCACAAGCCTAAGCCGAGCCTAGACCCAATGAAGGGTTAGGGTCAGAAAAATAGGCCCGAGCCTACTTTGTGATGAGTGTGTTGACTGTTGAGTCGATGATTTGAGGAGTCGATCTTTATTACATTTGACCAAATATATCCAAAAAATACTAATCTTTATAATATTTAATAAGTATCATTACATTACCATGAAATATACTTTTACAATAAACTTATGTAAAGATATAAATATAAATATTATTTTTTAAATAATTAGTCGATTTTAAAAAAGTTTGAATTCCCAAAAAATGATATATGAGTTTATTTTGAGGTGAAGATAATATGTTGTATAGAGTTATTTTAACCTTTTATTTTAGGTCAAATATTAAAGTTTGACTTTTGATCAATCGATTCAATATTTGACATTTGTGGTTACTTGAGAAGAGGATTGGAGATGATACATACTTTAGACCTTTGTGGTTGCGTCAACAACGAGTGAAGCGATCGTGACGCCTAAGAGAGAGTGAATTAGACTTTCCAAAAAGGAAAAAGTTCATATTACTCCTTCTAAGTTTGGTCTATGTCCAAATAACCTCCAAACTAATATTTGGTTCAATTTACTCCCTCCAACAATTTAAGTTGGTCCAACCAACACCTTAAAGAGATTTTTCTTTTTTGCTTCTCTATGTACAAATTATATTTTAGTTTCAAATTTTGTGAGGTGATAGAGGACATTGTATTTTATCTTAGAAAAATGCACTATGAATTTTTCATCATTATGTTTTATACGATATTGTATCTCTAGTATTAATTTTTATTAAATTTCCTAAGCTATCAAAATAGTGGCAAAAAGTTAAGATATATTTTTCTAACATAACTTATTCTATTCTCTATCATATCACAAATGTTGATATTATGACTCAACTAATACGTGGAAAAACAAAAATAATAAATCATGTTAAGAGGTAAATTAGACCAACTAAAATAGTTGGAGGGTGTAAATTGAACAAAATGTAAGTCTAAGGGGTAATCTGGACATATGACAAACTTGAGGGGAGTAATTTAGACTTTTTCCTTCCAAAAATTATACTCTTAAACTATAGCCTCTAATTTTCTCTAGTCAAAAACATATGCAATAAAATAATCTATCTAAATGTACAACTAAGGTTTTGTTAGATGGTATAAGCACACAAACTAGGTACACAAAATAAATTCGGAAGTTTAAAGGTGGTAGAGATGTGAACTCACATCGACGACTTGATATTTTTACCAAGATATCGAGAAGCTCCTCGCTCCCCCTAGTCCTCGTTTTGGAGCCCCTCGCAAGGGCCAAGCTCCTAGATAGGTAACTCCGTGGATAGCTCACAGACCTTCCCCATGCGAAAATGGGTCTCCGAGATGGCCTCTCCTAGACCGCTCCTCCACCATCTTCACTATTGAGCTTTTGGCTAAAATACCGTGGGTCTCATTCCCTCTAGTACACAGGTAGCAGCCACACCGCAAATACGGCTGGTGTGATCTTGTAAGAATACAAGCCCTCTCATACAAAGATGGTGCACGCAAGGCACCAAGTAGTAATAGGTATGTAAACCTCACTAAACACTAGGCCTAAACCTAGAGTGAGCACTAGTGCGGTGTCTAACTAGCTTAAGCCCTTTGTAAAACACCTAGACTAATCACTTAATCTTTTATTGAACACCTACTATAACACCCCGAAAGGGTCGACTATGGGGGTATAAATAGCCTAAAAAACTAGCCATTGGAGTGAGACAGTAGCTTACTCCGGTGCTACCACCAGACTAATCCATTGCGTGTTTCTAAGCTAGCCGTTGGGAACTTTTGTACCACATAGTCTTGTGCCCATCACTGGATCAATCTGTTGCCTTCTCATCTCTAGAACCTCTCTGGTGGCCACTGTTATAGTCCGATGCTCCTTCTCTGTTCACACTAGATCAATCTAGTGAGTGAGACACCCCTCTGGTGAATAGTTTCAGTGCATAGTCATGTGCTTGTATTGCCACCAGTCCACCACCACCAGATAATTAGGTGCCTTCTAGATGCATGCGGTTAGGGTTTGCAACCGTATAGTCCCATGCCCCTAGGGGACCCACCGGATCAACTCTTGGTGCATGCAAACAACATGCACTAGACTTTGTTTCGTCATGTCTTCACGTCTGGCTTGATTCCACCTTGTGTCTTGGACTTCTTGCATGTCTTATGGGTCCAAGTTCACCATTTTGCCTAAGTTCAAGTTTACCTTGCAACCATTCGAACTATACCTTGTATACTAGAAAACATCATTAGTCCAAACGATCACGTTCTTCATCAAACACCAAAATCAAATTTAATGGTCCATAGGGTCCATTTTCCTTACTCCAAGGATGTAGGCATGCTTTTGTGGTGTGTCGAAATCTCAAGTTAAATCCTTGTGTCTTCCATGTTTGTTGTTGTGGTTTCACTTGTCTTGTGCTCTCTTTCTCACTCTTGAGTTTACATTTAGTATGTCCACACAATCTATCTCCTAGGGACATTTCAGGCCATGGGAAGGATACTAAGAGGGTATCTAAAAGCTCTAGTTTGGTTTTAATGAATTGATAAAACTCTAGGTACTAACCTTTGGCTCTAAGTGAATATGAGATAGGTTAGTACACACAAAATGGTGGAGCAAGATGAAGTCCATGGAGGTGATGATGGACATGTGATGAAGGTGATCAAGCTATACACTTGGAAAAGAAGAAAGAGAAAAACAAAAAGGCTCAAGTCAAAGGTATAATTGATAGGAGCTTTTGTTTTGGCACTCAAGACACCTAGTGGATGTGAGTGTGTTTAGGATAGATAGCCGTACTATTAAGAGGGGTGAAACTCATCGTGAAATATGGTTATCAAAGTGCCACTAGATGTTCTAATTCATTGCATATGCATTTAGATTCTAGTGAGTGCTAACACCCTTGAAAATGCTTTCTAAAAATGCTAACACACGTACACTATGGTGAGACACTTTGTGGTTGGCAATATAAAAGCAAGGGTAAAGTGAAATAAGTTGGAAACGCTGAGTCACGGGGTGATCGGACGCGTCTAACATAGGGACCGGACGCGTCCGATGTTCAGCCTAGGTATGGGCAGAGCAGCTGGGTTGACCGGACTTTGCTCAAGGTTGTGATCGGATTCGAAAGAAACATTATTCATGCATCAGGTCATGGTGAAGCAGTGTGACGGCTACGACTAGATGCGCGGGGGTCAGTGACCGGACGCGTCCGGTGTGAACCAGGGTGTTCGCGGTCTCGGGCGCCACAATTCATCGGACACAGGGTGCGTCCGATTAGGTGAGACCGGACGCGTCCGGTCACCTCAGAGTGGCTCTCAAAGCTCTCTGTACTCGACTAGACTCTGAGTGCTGGAGCATCCGATCCTTCGAATGTTGCATCCGATCAGGTGATGTTCGCGCATGTTAGAGCTAGCCGTTGGGCGCCAACGGTTATTAGTTTTGAACGAGACATGTGGCAGCATAGGGGTGACCGGACGCTACGACCAAACATGTCCGATCGCGCTGTCGGACACGTTTGGTCGGTGCGCAGTCAGCCCGGTGAAGAGGTATAATACCTCTATTGTTTGGGGACCTTTATAAATAGTGGTTGGTCAGCTTGGGCTCACACTCTTGGCCATTTCTATTGAGAATACACCCTAGTGAGCCTAGCCATTCCTCTCTCACTCATCTTGCTTGATTGATTCATCATTTGGTGAGATTGGAGAGGATCCAAATGCATTGCTCTGAGTGATTGTATATAGAGGCACTTGGTGATTGTGTTTCGCTGCGGGATTCGCTTGTTACTCTTGGTGGTTGCCACCACCTAGATGGCTTGGTGCAGCGAGGATCGCCGAGCGGAGGAAGGTGCTTGTCTCTGACTCCAATTGTGGTGATTGTGAGGGGCTCTTGAGCCTTCCCCGTGGGAGATCACGAAAGGCATCTTTAGTGGATTGCTCGTAGAGAAAGCGAGTTGTTGATCAAAATTGGGCTGATTATGAAGAATAAGGTGATGAGGAAGAGTATGTTTGGTAGGAAGGGCAATGGTGTCCAGGAGGTTTAACAAGAAGTCAGAAAAAAGGGTACAACGCCTAAGGAATAGAGAGCTAGAACAGGCTTAGAAATCTGGCAAACCTCAAGTATGGCGTGTTAAACAAACAGCCGATAAGGGTCAACCATCGGCTAATATTCAAATGGCTTTTCTTTTGCTATTAGAATTTAGAGCTCCAGCAGATCAAGAAGTCTATTCAGATTTTGATGAATCAGAATATGAGGAGATGGTTGCCAAATTGATAGTGATACAGCAAGCTATATTTGATAAGCCATTCAAGCATCGGCACTTGAAGGCTTTATATGTAAAAGGTTTAGTTGATGGAAAGCTGA